ATAAGCATTCATATAGAGCCTGCTACATGCCATGCAACATGCTAAGCACTTAGAAATATCATTTGATCCTCACAATAACTTTCCAAGGTAAGTGCTGTCATTATCCCCATTTTACTGCAACTGAACCAAACAGAGGTTAAGTGACTTGCTGAGGGGCCACACAGCTAGTAAGTGACTGAGGCAGGATTTTAACCTCAGGTCTTCCTGACTCCAGGCCCAGTACTCTATCCACTGTGCCACTTAGCTGCCTGGGTATATTGAAAAAATGCATAAAATTCAATATACTCTGCCTAGCATTTAATGCCCTTTATAATTGGTATAATATACAAAGCAATTTTAAGAGGGTTGGTTTGCCAGTGTCTAGGGGGTGTCACCTGCACTGTGTTTTGAAGGTGACTTGTTTCCTAGGAGGTGGAGTGAGAGGAGTGTCTTATTCCTGGAAGGGAAAGGAGGCCAGAGCCATTGGGTCAGAGTACATGATGGAGTATGTGGCAGGTAGAAGACTGGAAAGGTAGGAGGCTGCTAAGTCATGAAGGCAAATGATCTCCCATACATTCTTTCCTCACCTCTGTTTCTTGTATTTCTGGTTTCCTTAAAAGCTTGGGTACTGGATATCTGTCACACTAGGCTTTCTCTCGTCTACTGACTTATTTCCTACTGCCTATAAACATGTCCATGTCTCCAGCATCCCCGAAAAAATCCCTCACTTGATTCTTTCATTCCTGCTATATCATGCTATATCTGTTCTGCTCTTTGTGGCTAAATTCCTTGAAAAAATTTTCTACAATACATGCTTCCACCTCCTTTCATTTCATTCTCTTCTTTTATAATCTGGCTTCTGACCTCATTATTCCACCAAACCTGCTCTCTCCAAAGCTACCAATGATCTCCTAATTGTCAAATCCCATGAATGGCTTTTCCTCAATCCTTATTTTCCTTGACCTCTCTGCAGTCTTTTACACTGTTAATCATCCTCTCCTCCTGGAGACTTTCTTTTCTCTAAGTTCGCAGGACATCAATTTTTCCTGATTCTCCTACTTATTTCACCACTGTCAGTTTCCTTTGCTGGATCCTCATTCCTCTAACCACAGGTGCCCCATTGAGTTCTGTGCTGGGCCATCTTTTCTCTCCCTCAGTACTACTTTATTTGGTGATCTTATCAGCTCCCATGGATTTAATTACCACCTCTATGCTGATGATTCACAAATCTACCAATCTTGCTCTACCCTTTCTGCTGACCTCCGATCTTGTCTATCCAACTACTTTTCAGATATCTCAAACTCAATGTCCAGTAGACATCTTAAATATTTCCTAAAGGGAAATGATTATCTTCCCCCCCCAAAAAAAAACCCAACCAAGCTCCACCTCCCAACTTTTCTAGAGGGAAACACCATGTTCCTAGTTCCTCAGACAGGCAACCTAGGTGTCATCCTTAGGACATCTCTTGAATACACCTCCTTCTCTCCTCTGACACTGCCCTCATCACCTCGTCTGGATTATTGCAATAGCCTCCTGGTAAGTCTGCCTGCCTCAAGGTTTCCCCCAGTCCAGTCTGTTCTCCATTCAACCATCACCATGATTTACTTAAATTGAAGGTTCTATCTCACGTCACCCTCCTACTCAATAAACAGCAGTGTCTTCCTACCACCTCCAGGAACAAATACAAAATCCTGTTCGGCATTCAAGGCCCTTCACAATTTAGCCCCCTCCTACTTTTCCACTTCTTATATCTTATTACCTGCCACCTATTCTGTCATGTACCCTTCCATCCAGTGACACTGGCTTCCTTGCTCTTCCAGGAACAAGACACTCCATTTCTTAGCTGCAGGCATTTTCACTGGCTGTCCCCCATGCCTGGAATGCTCTCCTCCTCATCTTTACCTACTGCCTTCCCTGGTTTCCTAAATCCCAACTAAAATCCCATCTTCCACAGGAAGCCTTTCCCAATCCCATTTAATTCTAATGCCTTCCCTCTGTTAATTAGTTCCTATTTTCCATATACACAGCTTGTTTGTACTGAGTTGTTTGCATGTTGTCTCTCCCATGAGATGGTGAGCTCCTTGAAGGCAGGAACTGTCTTTTGCCTCTTTTTGTATCCCCACTGCTTAGCACAGAGCCTGGCCCATAGTAGATGCTTAATAATTAATTGAGATCATGGCTCATTGGTGTGGGTGCCTGCTCTCTGCCTTTTTCTCTCTTGAAATTCCTTAGATATGCTTTGTATTTACTTATGTGCAAGTTTTATTTCCACCATAAAATGGATGTCCCAGATGGATGGTTTCCTTTTTTGCCTTCTTATTTCCCTCTCCATAGCCTTGTGCACAGCAGGCATTTAATAAGATCATAAGGTTTTAGATATGGAAGTGGAATAGACTTCAGAGGTCATGCAGTCCAACTCCCTCATTTTATAAACGAAGAACCTGAGGCTCAGGAAGGTAAAGTTTGTTAAATCAAAATTCAGACAGGGAGATCACTTGTGGAAAGATACCCAAAGGAGGAGATGGAGTAACATTTGTAAGGAAGAGACCATTTGACTGGATTCAAGAGTGCTGAATTTAGGAAGAAAAGTGGTAAAGTGGTATGGAATAAAGAAGGCAACTATATCAGAGAGGGCTTGAAATGCCAAGCTGTGGGTTTTGTGTTTCCTCTTTGAAGCAATTGGGGCTACTGAAGATTTTTAAGTGGGGAAGTGGCACTTTGATCTGCATTTTAGGAATATCATGTTGGCATTTGTTGGAGGGTAGACTGGGGATTGAAGACACCAAAGGTAGGGAGATCAATTAGAAGACTATTGGAGGGGTATTTTGGGGGAAAGGTAGGGATTCCATGGGCCAAGTGGAGGATGGATAAACATCTCAGGCATAGGCACCTGCCTGTGTGTAAGACAGAGTAGTCTGGTTTGGCTACATCTTAGTGCATGGTGGTGGGGCCAGGGTCTGTGTGTGTGGGACAGCAGTATTAGAAGAGGATGCAAGGGAGGGTCACATTATGTGAGGTTTATAATATTATGCTTTAACAGAGTTTAGGCCCTGATGGCTGCAGCGTAGATAAGGCTGGATGAGGGTGGGGCTCAGCTACATTCAGCAGCCACACTGTCTGGTCCTGAGATTTCTGCTTTCCTCCTTCAGAGCCCAAGCTCCAAAAACAAGCTCTGACATCATCAACTCTCTCTTCCTTATTTCCCAGCCCTGTCGGCTAGTTCTCTAGCTCCTTCGTTCAGTTGCAACTTTCCCATCCCCCCTTCTTTTCCCACATCTCTCCCTCCCTTCCCACCTCAGGGCCGGTGCGGGGGTGTCTTTCCCAGCACCAGAAGTGCTTCCTTTCCTTAGGGCTCCGGCTTTGTTCCTCCCTCTCTCCTCCACCCCCCAAGCTCTGGCTTGCTGCCTTTCCCCCTCCTGCTCCCCCTCTTCCCCACCTCCCCCGCGAGCCCTAGGTGCTATCTTCGGCTGGCTCAGCACCCTAGCTTAGGCTCCTCTGTCCCAACTGTCCTTGGACCCTAAGACTGCTGTGGATGAGTTCTTGTTCTGCTGTGCTGCACTGGTTGGCTCTTGCCTAGATACTGCATGTTTTAGTTTTATGTAGGTGGCTCTTGCCCTGCCTCCCTCACATTTTAAGCTCTTTAGGAGACAGGCTCTATTTTTCCACTTTATATTCTAGCCTTCCTTGCCTTTTAGGTCCTCTGTGGAGGCACTCCCTCCTGCCACTTATCACCCCATCATTCCTTATCCTATTCCATTCTTGGCCTATCTTTGCGCAAATTCTCCAGGGCATCTCCCCAACTCGAGGCCTTCCTCCCCTTTTCTTGTGATCATATCGTGTTATCACTAGTGGGACCCTCCCTCTGTCCCTTTGATACTTTCCCCCAGCTTCACCCCTTTCTCTGATCATAGGTGCCCTTGATGGTCTTCAGAGCCACTTCTTGGGGCCGCTTGGTGTTGGTAATGTGAAGCAGCTTGCTTACCTAGCTCTTTCCTTGCCCTTTGGCTTGACATTTAATGGCTGATTTGACTTGGATCTCAGGTCCAACACTTACTAAGCTACATGACTGGGTATGTTAACAAAGTTTCAATTTCCTCACCTGTACAATGAGGATAGTAAGCTCTTACTATTGTTTCAGGTGTAAGCTTCAAAACTCTTTAAATGTCAGTTATGCTGATTATTTCAGTCTCTTTTTCTCTCATTTTTCACCTTGTCATTACTGTTTAACCACTTCTTCCAGGAGGTGTGCAGAGAAAAATGGAGGAACTGCTGAAGATTTTGAAACTAGACCAGAAACAGAAACCCTAGTGGGAGGTCTTACAGAGGGCTTCTACAGTAGAGTCTATGCCTGATGATGGGAAGCAGCAGATATAATTATCAAAGGGCAATAATAATAATAGCTAGCTCTTTATATTTATATAGCCCTTTAAGGTTTGCCAAGCCTTATACATGTATTATCTCATTTGATCCTCACAACAATCCTGAGAGATGGGTGCCTCATTTTGCAGATCAAGAAACTGAGGCAGAGAGGTCATTGATCTCCCCAGAGTCAGTATCTGGGGTATTTCAACTCAGGTCTTCTTGCCTCTAAGGATGGGACTCTACCCACCATCCCATTCAAGTTGCATGGTTACTAGTAAAACCAGATCTAGAACAAATGAGGAAGAATCTAAAAAGTTTCAGTACCACTAAAATGAGAACAATGTGCTCAGTGTGTGGAAAATAAAAGCAACCTCATTGCACATTCCCTCTTCTCCACCCCCCCCCCCCCATTAAACCTGAGGGCCAAAGAAATCTTGGTCAAAGGGTAGCAGGGATAACTAGATAATCAGTTATTATTTCAGCCAACAGCTCTATTCTTTTCACTCCAGTAAACCTTTTCCCAGGGCTGTAAAGGGGATGGTGTTTGTCTTCCCTTGTTAGACTGTCAACTCCTTGTATCTCTGGTGCTTAGCACAGTACCCTGGCACATAGCAGGTATTTAATAAATGTTTATTGACTGATCGGATTTATGATAGCGAAAGTCACTTAATTTCAGTTACCTCATCTGTAAAATGTGAGTGCTCAACTAAATGGCCTCTAAGATCTCTTTCAGGTCTATAATGATGATTCTCAATATTACTAGAAAACATATAGCATAGTTTGTCAGAAGAGATAAGGAACTAAGGAGAGGATCTAGAAAACAAGACATGTATAGATTGAGAAAGTAATGCCTCCCTTGAGCCTTCTCAATATCTGCTAACAATAGCGAAAGATGTCTAATTGGTAGGATTCTGTGTAAAAAGCTCTCACAATATATAGCATTTTGAAAAGTCTATAGAATAACCTACGTGGTAAGTAGAACAAGTATTGTTATCTCCATTTACAGATGACGAAAGGGAAATTCCAGTGTAAGTGGCCTTCCCTAAGGCCACAGGAGGCAATCCCAGGAGAGTCAGGGGCGAGGAGCTCCCGTCAGGCAGGTAAGGTTTTAGCCCTGGCAAGGCAGGTTGAATGAATATTTGCTGACTCTGATTGACTTGAACTCAGGACTCTGTTGATTCTAGCACCCTCCATACTATGCTATGCTGTCTCCCATTTATGCCGTTTTTAAAAAGTTGTGACCTGCCCTTGAATTCCAGCAAATATAAAAAATATCCAGTATCACAACGTGAAACCCCAGGAGCTGAGAAACCCTGATGGAGAGGAAAAAGGATGCAGCAGAGAGCCTGGCAAGATACTGAGAGAACTCCTCAGGCAGGTGAAGGGAAGCAAGGATGATGCAATTTTCTCACTACACTTCATCCCATTAGAATAGATAGAAAAGTCCTCTTTCCTCTCCGTTTAATAAAATGTTACTTTGAGACTCGTAGCAGGTTTTAAATACTTGATTGATTAATTGGTATAGGACTCTGCTTTTTAAAAATATTATGTAGTTCAGGCTGATTATAAAAATCCCTGAGAAATGTAATAGCACAGTGGTACATCTCATCAAAGCCACCCTGGTGTGACCGCTCCCAGGCCTCTCAGTGTTCAATCTGGTTAGTGAAAGCATTGGCTTTCAAGGCTCTTCAGCTTGGCCTCAGCATGAAGAGTAAATTCCTTGGAGGCTTTCTGCAGGGGCAGCCGAGGAGGCCCCATCTGGATTCCAGAGACAAGAGTTATAATAGCTTTTGTCTGTGCAACTCCCAGACCTAGGCAAGGAAGGAAAGCAAGCGTGATTAATTCCATCATTCTCTATAGAAGTGTTCTGATGTCAGTTGAGGCAACACCTGGAGTATCACATTCACTGGATCACTGAGTGAGAAGTAAAAGAGACCTCAAACTGTTTAATTTTGCGGAGGTGCAGAGCACTAAATGACTTGTCTAATGTCACACAGGTGGAATAAGTGACAGAGGAGTGATTTGAATCCAGGTCTTCTCAACCTAAACTTGGGCTCTTTTCATTCTTCACTTATTAAGCAGCACACTTGAGGAAGAATGCAATGGATGGCACCCAGTGGAGAAAAGACACGGGGTACCACGGCACATGATTAGCAGAAGGACTCTGAGAAGAGAAGCTGTGTCGGAGCTCTCTCAACTCTAAGATTCTGTGATTTTAAAGATCAGCCTACCTATGTTCAGAGTCAGAACGTCAAGTGGGAGCAGGAGGACAGAAAAAGTAGGTAGTTGCCTTACCAACAAGAAAGGGCAGTTTGAAGAATGTTTTAAATATAAATTTTAAATAAACACACAATTTGTAAATGTTGAGGAAATTCTGCTCTTCACCAAGGAAATATCCTTACTGTGTACGGAACACATGTCATAATGAAGATTCAGAGGCCCTGAGGCCTATTCTGACTCATCAGCTGCTACTGACTTCCTCTCAGGAAGTTACTTTATACACATTTCATATTTTAATTTACTTTGTGGTGTATACATTGTTTCTTTCAAATAGAATGTAAGCTTCTTAAGGGGAAAACTTTCATTTTTTAATCTTTTTTGGGGGGGGGCAATGGGCTAGGCAATGGGGTTAAGTGACTTGCCCAGGGTCACACAGCTAGTGAGTGTTATGTGTCTGAGTTCGGATTTGAACTCAGGTCCTCCCGAATCCAGGGCTGGTGCTCTATCCACTGTGCCACCCCGCTGCCCCTCATTTTTCAATCTTTGTATTTCAGGTTCCTAACACAGTGTGTGGCACACAGTAGGTGCTAAATAAAAGCTTATTGAATGAAAGAATGCTCTGTACTTCCATGTTGAAATTCTTGGTGGTGTGCATGGGAGCTTCCTCCTAGCTCTGCTTATAGGGGCTCTTTGGGAAGTGAGTGTTGAGAGGGTAAAGAATTAACAAAGAGCGCAGGGTAACTCATGGGATGCTGACAATTGCCCCAAGATGAATGCTGTCGAATAACTTTGAGCACACAGAGGGCAGCATGAAGGTGGTAGGCATCTCCAGAGTAAGGACACAAGGATTCAATTATCATCTCTTTGGAGATAATAACTTATTCAGCCCTAACCTCTATGGACATCCTGAACTGGATGTCCCATAGATATCATAAACTCTTCTCTTCCCAACAACTTTCTTGGTACTATCAAGGGTACCACATTCTCCCAAGCACATAGGCTAACCCTGGTGTCATCCTCAATGCCTTACTTTCTCTCACCCTTCAATAGCCAATTAATTTCCAAATCCTGTCAATTCTGCCTTCACAGCATCTCTTGTTTATGCTCCCTTCTCTCTTTTGACACCGCCACCACCCTGAAGCAGGCCCTCATCACCATATGCCTGGACTATGGCAACAACCTGCTGGTTAGTTTCCCTACATCAAGACTCTCCCCAGGCCAATCCATCCTCCACTCAGCCATAAAGCCTAGGTCTGACCATGTATCCCCACCTCCCCCAATTTAATAAACTCCAGCAGCTCCCTATTACCTTCCTAAGAAGGCTTTCCTCATTCCCCTCAATGCTACCACGCTCCCTCTGTTGATTAGCTCTAGTTTATACTGCATATATCTTATTTGTACATAGCTGTTTACCCCCATAAGACTTTGAGCTCCTTGAAGGCTGGGATGTGTTTTTTTTCCTCTTCTTTGTATTCCCAGAGCTCACAGTGCTTGGCACATAGTAGGTACTTAATGAACACTCATTGACTTGACAAAGCTGTGAGAGCACGGAGAGGAGGAGCACCAGAGGGCTGACTATAACTATGTCTACCTCAAAATTTATCTATAGCTAGTCTTGGGAGTTGTCTTGAGCAGAATGATAACAGGAGGGAAACTTATTTTCCCAAAAATTCAATGCTTAGTGTTTTACAAACTTCTCCAAAGTCAGGGATGTTATTTCCTATTTCTACTGCCTTTGTAATGTAGCACAGGAAATGGAAGAAAGACGTTGTACTTACCCAGTTTGATTACATAGTTCATAAATCTCTGGATGTACAACTAAAAAAAGTATAAAAAAACCTATCATTAGTATTAAAGGGTAGATGTCAGCTGCCTATAGATGAAGCGTTATCGCATTGTTAGCATCCAAAGGTTAGATATTGTACTTGTCTTTACATTTGAAAGTTAGAGTGAAGAAAAAGAGATGTGAGGGAATGGAATGACAAGAGTAGGGTAGAGGGAAAGGTGCCCCCAGAGCCCATAATGACATATATATGTATGTATGTATATATAGTGTTTTTAAATTTATATACATAAATATGACTACTATATGAATACAAATAAAGCACTTTAAGGTTTGCAAAGTATTTTACAAGTATTATTTCATTTTATCCTCATAACAACCCTGTAAAATAGGTGCTAATATTATCCTTGTTTTTATAGATGAAGAAATTGAGGCAGATAGAAGTTAAGTGATTTGTGCAGAGTCATACAGCCAGGGGATGTCCGAGGTTGGATCTGAACTTAGGTCCTCCTGATTCTAGCCCCAGGGTTCTATCCACTGGGCTACCTGGCGGCATGCCCCATAAAAACTAAAATATTTGGTTATATAGGAGGCATAGTAAAGTTAGAAAACCATGAGGAAAGTGCTGCCAGTGCCTGCAGAATGGCTGTAGCCGGCAGTTAGAATGGTGTAGCTGCCAGATCAGAGCACACACAATTCTTTTACCAAAAGTACTTTGATACTATGACAGTAGCATCATCAGTCCATAGATAGCCTCTCGTCCCAGTGGAAATTCTCCTGAGCTGCTGTGGCAAAAGTGCTTTTTGAAGCTCCCAGGAGTCCTGTGAGGAAGGCTACCTTACAGTATAGAGGAGGTGAACATTCAGAGAAGCCACATGGCTTGCCTGTGCTCTCACTGACAGTGAGTAGACAATCTTCTGGCCATGGGCCTCTGACGACTTGGCTAGGCTACAGTCCTGTACTTAGAGACTCCAATGGCCATTACTGGGCCTCCATGTCAAAAGAAGACATCAAAGTAAGCCTTCAGTGAATGAACTAAAGATATATTTTAGAAAATGAGGATTAAGACACTAAAGATGTCACCCTTAGCCGTTGGACATCATACATAGATCTTGCAGAAATCTGTTTTGCCTCTCCTCCTGAAGGTCTCTATGGCTTTGGGATTCTAAAAGTTCTCCCTTTCCCCAGTTTCTTTGTCCTCTTTAATTTACATAAAGTACTTCACTAGCTTGAGGTTAGGGCTCTTTCTACCTTTCAGGGAAATAAATTTTCTTTACCTAAGCCTGTAGGCTAGCACCTGGACTCGGTTTCTTAGCGACCATTTAGTCAAAGTTCTTAGTTAGACTGGCTCAGGTTACCAGCTCTGTGTATTTCCCCCAGGTCCTCTTTTACAATTCATCAAATAAATGTCCCTAAGGCAGTGATTCTCTAACACCCTGTAATTACTGTTTTACAAAATAAAAAAATATTTTACAATTTTTGTGAAAAACAAAAGACAACGACTTCCTCCAAGAGAAGTTGAAGACACACTGCTTTTGAGGTATCAGTTTTATGTAAGACCAGGGAAGAAAGAAAAGATAACAGAAATCTTTGGAAGTGGGCCAACTCTGCCAATAAGAAAAGAGTAAGTTGAATAGGGAGGGAGGAAAGGAAACAGAAAACTGACAGGGCTACCTAGCACAGGGCTAATGGAAGAGCTTGGATGTGAGGAAGAAATAAAGTCACATTTTATGTCAACAGAAGGCAATGCCATACCTGGTAATTCAAAGCTAAGGAAAGGTCCTGGCGCTCAAAAGCTTCCAACATCTGGTTTGTTTTTTTGCCCAGGTAGTTGTAGGTGCTGCCAAGAAAATAAGAAGCACTAGTGAGTGATTCATTCAGTAACTACAATGAGAAGATGTACTTCTGTTGTTTACAATATCTATTCCATACCTATCTACATATCTCCGTGACTGTACACACACACACACACACACACACACACACACACACACACACCACACACAGACCCAGGCTACCCAAAAGGGGAAGTTTTATCTTTAGATTCCTGGGGTTAGCAATTCCTTTAGTTTTAAGTGCTAGCAACAGGGCTAAGATACCACAGCGGAGGAAGAGAAAAAGAAAAAGAGAAAGCAAAAAGAGAGAATGGAAAAGCCTCAGAAGAGGAAGAAAAGATGGAGTGATAGAGAAGGAAAGAGGATGGAGGGAGTTGAGGGGTATATAGTGAAGATGTGACGAAGTGTCATCAATAACTGCCTAGGGCATCACACAATGAATTCACCTGCCAACTGCTCCAGTCGCTCCCATGGCCAGGGCACTCAGCAGTTGCTATTCAGAAAAAAAGGAAAAGCACTAACTTTTATATAATGCCCCTCACAACATCCCTCCTTCACCCTACCCTGACCAAGCAGAATGCTGTGGGAAGCCTGTGAAGGTTGTTTTGGACCAGCGGCTCCTGACGTAGAGGGAGAACAATTACCTCATCCACCCCAAAAAGGAGATCGAATTGCCGTTGGCTGTTCTGATCCACACATTGTCCAAAGTCTAAGAGATCGACATCGCTGAACTTCAGTCCTTGAAAGGTGGGGATTTCATCCTGAATCCCGTCCAGCAGCTCTTCAGCACGAACTATTCAGACAAGGACTGCTCATTAATCCACGTCCTTCTAGTGGTGTAAAATCCTTCTATAAAGTCCCATATACCCTTGGCTCTGGATCCCTCTCTCTAATTGTCAAAGATTAGGGCTGCTGTATTCAGAGTCAATTGAGAAACCACTGCTACAAAGTCCTGGGGTATTTCCATGTGGAAACGATTTTGTAACAGGTACAGTAGTAACAGGCAAAGGAAGAAGCCACCTGCAGGTTCTTTGGATATGGAAAGAGACATTCCCAATTCTTCCTCCTGATACCAACATGACCAACATATTTTTGTTGAACAGTTATTTTTCAGCTTAGGTGACTAGAAGCTGATAGGGTTCTTTCCTGTCCTTAACTATACAATCCAGTGGAAATATTTTCCAATAATGGCAACAGTTGAACAGACAGCAGTGGCTGCAGAAGAATAACCTCTTTTACCATACTTTGGACTTCCGTTTCTAATGTCCAGAGGGCCAGCCTGGTGTTCTGCGAAGTGAGCACCCTGGCCTTCTCTGGAGAAACATGTCCTTTGGCCTCTTAATAAAGAGCATGCTTAATCTGAGGCTTCTTATTGGCCCCCATGTGCATTACCCCTTGCCCATGAGGGGAGCTGCATTACAGAGGCAACAGAAACAACCCACTCAGAAAACTTTAAAGGAAGCAATCACTTCTGACCTCCCTCTTTTCTTCCGAAAATGTGATTTGGGACCTTCACAGCTCTGCCCTCACAGAAGCTCTCCCCCATAGCTACTACTTTACTTCTCAAAGGAAAGGGAGACCACCGATAGGAAAATGAGCCTACTCCATTTCCAGCATTGTGAAAATAGAGCAGAACTTGGGCGAAGGTAAAATGCCTGTTCAGCACTTTACAAAGTGGGTCATGTTTGGATGATTTAAGTATTAACCTCTTGAAAGAGCACAGCTGGAGTTATGGGTTATTCTTTTGTGTTTTAAATATTTGTCAATATGCACTTGAGTCTGGTGTTTTGGTTTTAAGCATTTCTTTTGCAGCAAAAGGAACTAGCTGTCCTGATCTACTTTTTCAAAATTAAATTAAAAATTTTTTTGTTACATTTTAAGTTTCTCCTTCCCTCCCTCTCCTCCACTCCCCACCCCCACCCCCCAGTACAGAAGGGCATCATTTGACACAGATACATAACTATACATAAATCCATATTATGCATACTTCTATTTATCAATTTTTTTTCTCTGGAAGTGGAGAGCATCTTCCTGCATGGGTGCTTTATAGTTGATTTGAGTATTTATAACACTCAGAATAACTTGATTGTTCACAGTTGTTCTTCAAACAATATTGCTGTTACTGTGTACAACATTCATTTCACTCTTCATTATTTCATACAAGTCTTTCCACAGTAGAATTCCATCACAATCATATACCACAACTTGTTTAGCCATTCTCCAACTGATGGGCATCCCTTCAATTTCCAGTTCTTTGCCATCACAAAGAGAGCTGCTACAAGTATCTTAGAACATATCAGTCATTTTCCTTTTTCCCTGATCACCTTGGAAAACAGACCTAGGAGTAGCATTGCTGGGTCAAAGGATATACACGGTTTTATAAGTCTTTGGGAATAGTTTCAGATTGCTCTCCAAAATGGCTGGATCAGTTCACAGTCCACAGTTCACAGTGTATCAGTATCCCTATTTTCCACATCCCCTCCGACATTTGTCATTTTCCCCTTCTATCATTTTAGCCAATCTGATAGGTATGAGATATCTCAAAGTTGTTTGAATTTGCATTTCTCTAATCAATAATGAGTCACAGCGCTTTGATTTCTTCATTGAAAAACTGCCTATTCATATGCTTTGACCATTTATCAACTAGGGAACGACTTGTATTCTTATAAATTTGACAAAGTTCTGTATATATTGATCTATACTCAATTTCTGCCAGAATGCTTTCGTTTTCCCAACAGTTTTTTTTAACCAAATAGTGAATTCTTATCCCCAAAACTTAAATCTTTACATCTGTCAAACACAAGGTTACTATAATCATTTACAATATTGTGTATTGTATGTGTACTCTGTTCCATTGATCCACCTTTCTGTTTCTTAGCCAGTACCAGATAGTTTTAGTGATTACTGCCTAGTAATATAGCTTAAGATCTGGTACTGCTAAACCTTCTTCCTTTACATTTTTTTTCCATCAATTTCTTTGATATTCTTGACTTTTTGTTCTTCCAAATGATTTTTTTTTTTGGCTAGGCAATGGGGTTAAGTGACTTGCCCAGGGTCACACAGCTAGTAAGTGTCAAGTGTCTGAGGCCGCATTTGAACTCAGGTCCTCTTGACTCCAGGGCTGGTGCTTTATCCACTGAGCCACCTAGCTGCCACCCCAAATGAATTTTGTTATTATTTTTTTTCTAGCTCAATAAAACAATCTTCTGGTAATTTGAGATGGCATTGAATAAGTAGATTAATTTAGCCAGAATTGTCCCTTTTATTATACTGGCTCTGGCCACCCATGAACAATTAATATTTCTCCAATCATTTAAATCTGACCTATTTGTATAAAAAGAATTTTATAATTATGTTCAGATAATTACTGGGTTTTTCTTGGCAAGTATACTCCCAGGTATTTTGTATTGTCTACAGCTATTTTAAATGGAGCATCTCTTACGATTTCTTCTTGCAGGGTTTTGTTGGTGATATATAGAAATGCTGATGATTTATGTGGGTTAATTTTATATCCTGCTACTTTGCTAAAATTATTAATTATTTCAACTAACTTTTTAGTTGATTCTCTAGGATTTTCCAAGTATATCATCATATTATCTGCAAAAAGGGATAGTTTTATTAACTCATTGTCCATTCTGATTCCTTCAATTTTTTTCTTTCCTTATTGCTATTGCTAGCATTTCTAGTAAAATACTGAATAATATTGTTGACAATGGGCATCTTTGTTTCACTCCTGATCTTATTGGAAAGGCTTCTAGCTTATCCCTGTTACAAATAATGCTTGTTGATGGTTTTTGGAAGATGTTTCTTATCATTTTAAGGAAAAATCCATTTATACCTAATTTTCAAGTGTTTTTAAATAGGAATGTATGTTGAATTTTGTCAGAAACTTTTTCTGCATCTCTTGATATATAATCATATGATTTTTGTTACTTTTGTTATTAATGTAGTCAATTATGTTAATAGTTTTCCTTATGTTAAACTATACCTGCATTCCTGGTATTCTGACCTTTGTATACTGACTGTATTTCTAGAAGGAGCTCTGTTAATTCCTTTTGGAGAGACCTTAAACATGAGCCAAACCTAAGCTTTGTTTAAGAGACTGTGTCCCAGGGTGAACTCTGGGGTGGAGGCGTAATGAGCCAGGAATATGGAGGGAAATGCCTGACTCCCTTTTTCTCAGAGGCCAGGCTTCCTGCAAACTGAACCTGATCGTGATGCCACAGCTGGGATCTGTTAGAGGGAGAAGGCATCCAGACCCTAATCAGTGGGTCATTACAGTAAGAAGAAATGATTAATGGTAGAGAAAGTGAGGAATAGGAGAAGAGAAACAAGACAGGAAGCACTCACTTTTTACCCCAGTCAAAGCAGGAATATGATAGTAATAAAACGGCACCTCCGGGGCAGCAGCAGCCACTTCTTTTAAAAACGCGATCAGGGCATCTGAAAGCAACAGCGATAAAGCAAACTTACGTAATCATAGACCTTAATGTCAATGAAACTGCTGAAAGGCAGAGGAATGCTGGCTAATCGTAATGACCAGAATTGTTTTAGGAGAACAGTAGGAGAGAAAATACTTCCTTCTTTTCAACAGAAAGGTAAGGGACTATGGATGTTATATACTGTCATTTGAAGTTGCTAGGTTGGCAGGGTTTGCCTAATTTAAAGAAAAAGTCTATTTCAAATTTAACATTTTAATTTCAACACTGCCCATTCAACCGTATAAGGGGAGATTCAGAGAGGGAGAGGTATGTCAGAAAATCATGTGTGTGAGTACAAAAGACACAAATAAAATTATATATGTGTGACACACATACATATACACATAAGTCTATGTACACATACGTATATATATATGTACATAGAAATCTATCTATCTAACCTATGTGAACAAAGAAATAAGTGTAATGTTCACCAAAGTCTTCCTAAGTGTTTCTTTTTTTTTCCTTGATAATTTCTAAAGAATTTTCAGAACATTTTTTTTTCTTTTTGCTTAGGCAATCGGGGTTAAGTGACTTGCCCAGGGTCACACAGCTAGTAAATGTCAAGTGTCTGAGGCTGGATTTGAACTTAGGTCCTTCTGACTCCAAGGCTAGAGCTCTATCCACTGCGCCACCTAGTTGCCCCTATGGGTTTAATTTTTATCTCTATGTAAATGGCTTCCAGATATATATTCAGCAAGCCTCTACCCTAAGATAGAGGCTCATCACCAACTGGACACTTCATAGTGGATGTGCCTAAACTCAACATGTCCAAAACAGAATTCATTCTCTTTTCTTCAAGACCCTCATATCCACCGCACTTATTTTTTTGAGGCACCACTATTTTTCTGTTTTTCCAGATTCAAAATCTTAGTGTTGTCCTCAGGTTCTAATACTCCCTCTCTTCCCTCATTCAGTCTGTTGCCAGATCTTGATGTTTCTACTTCCATCACACTTCTCACATTTGACCCCTTCTCTCTCTCCTCACAGACCACCATTCAGTTTAGATCTTTGCCTCTTGCCTGGACTGTTGTACTGCTCTTCTAAATGGCTTCCCTGACTTCAAGTTTCCCCTCTCTAAACTGCTGTCAAAGTAACCTTTCGAAGCACAGATGTCGACACAGTCCTCTCCTACCTAATGAATTTCATTGGCTCCCCATTACCTCCAGGATCAAATACGAACTCTTTTGTTTGGAATTTAGAGACCCTCACAGCTTAGCTCTGACTTACCTTTCTAGTCACTTTATGACTCTTCACACTCTTTACATTTTTGCCAAACTGGCCTTGCTGTTCCTCACACACCTCAGTCCATCTCTTGCCTTCGTTCCTTTGTACTGGCTATCCCCAACACCTGGAATGGATTCCCTCCCGACATCTGCCTCTTTCATCCCTAGTGACTTTCAAAGCATGATTCAAGGACCACCATCAACATAAAGGCTTTACTGGTCCTTTGGTCACTAATGCCACCCCACCCCGACCAACACCTTTCTTGTTTGGGGCATACATATAGATAGATGTACATACGTGCGTATACACATATGCTACATCCATGTATGTTTTGAGCTTTCCTGCATGTGTTGTCTTCTCCAATTAGACTGAGTTCCTTGAGAGCCAGATTATCTTCTTTTTCTATTCCTGTCACCAGAGCTTAGTAACATGCTTGGTGTATGCTAAATGCAAGCTCTTCATTCATCTATTCATTAGGAGTCAGAAAACCTGGGTTTAAATTTCAGCTTCAGCTTTACTAGCTGTGCATCTAAGGACAAAATAGCTAATGTCTCTGAGCTTTATTATCTTAATCCATAAAACAGGGATACTACTACTCATGCTACTTTCCCCAACAGGGTGTTGTGAAGAAAGTGCTTTGCTTTGAGAGGCAGCGTGGTACAGGACATAGACAGTAGGATTTGGAGTCAGGAACGTCAAGGAGACTTTCTAGCTTTGTTACCATGAGCCATTACTTTCTTCAACTATAAAATGGGGAGACTAGTATCTGCAGCATCCACTCCACAGGGTTATTCTGAGACTCCAAAGAAACAATGTATACAGAGTGCCTTGCAAACTTTAAAGATCAAGGGAAGAAACTCAAGCTAAACTTGCCATGTTTTTGAAAAAATGTTCCAAATCACTAATAATTAGAAATATGCAAATTAACTTTGAGGTCCTACCTCAGACAGAACAGGGAAATGCTGAGTGCTGGAAGGGGTGCGGGGTATGGGCACATTGCTACACCCTTGGAGGAGCTGTGAATTGGTCCAGCCACTCTGGAAAGCACTTTGGAACTATGCTCAAAAAATTACTCAACTGTAGCTGTGCAGGTGACTTTTTTCATTAAAGTTCAAGGCTTTACATTTTTCCTCGTTAGAAATGGACTGTTTTCTCCTGAGACCATCACTTTGCATTCTGAGTCTACTACAGATTGCATTTGGCATTCTTTCCTAACTTCATTTTGCCTTCACAACCTGTCTTGCATAGGCTCCCTTTCATTGCCTCACACATCTTAGTAGCAGGACTACTGCAGTAGTCTTCTACTTGGTCTCCCCTGCCTCAAAATCATCCTCCACTCAGCTGCCAAAGCGATTTTCCTAAAGAACAAGTCTGACTGTGTCACCCACTCCCCCTCAATAAACTCCAGTGGCTCCCAAATACCTTCAGGGTCAAGCATGGAATCCTGTACTTGACATTTAAAGCCCTTTATGATCTGGCCTCTTTCTACCCTGCCTTTCTGGCCTTCTCACGTCTGCACCCCAGCACCGGCTGCCCCTCAAGCCCCTCCTGCCCACCTCTACCTTCAAGATTGCTCCAATCTCTCCTACCTTCTCTACATGGCCTTGCCCAGACCTTCCCACTGGTCCTCCTTCTAGCGCCTCTTCCCTTTCAGATTCCCTTTCATTTACACCGTATATATCTTGAATACAGTTATTTGAACGTTGTCTCTCCTATTAGAATGTGAATTCCTTGAGGGCACGGAATGTGTTTCTGCCTTTCTTTGCATCGAGAGCAATGCCTGGCACATAGGAAAGCAATGAACAAATGTGAGAGTACTGACTGCCTAACTGAAAATGGGATAATTGTGTCATCCATGCCTTTGTCCAGAAGAATACTGGAGCATTTCAGGGATGGGGACGGTGGAAGTGGGCCATGCTGACCTGGTGACCTTAGGCTCAGTCTACTCACCTTTGTTCACAGGTTTGAAAAAGAAAGGGGCTATGACAGCAATACCATCAGCTCCTATTTCTGCTGCATGCTGAGCCTTAAAAAGGAGGAAGGAATAAAACGTGTTCAGGCTGGCCACTATCATCTATTTACTTATATTGTAAAAACTGTATTCAAGTACACTAGTGTTCTTAAATGAAAAGATCTAAGGGGGTCCACAAATTTGGGTTGGGAAAAATTGTACATTTCAATTTTTGGTAAACTTTGATTTCCTTTGTAGTGCTATGTATTTTATTTTATGCATTTAAAAGCATTATGCTGAGAGAGGATACATGACACAGGAAACCTGTTTTAGCAGGCATTACCAACAAAAATCCTAAAACCCTCAAACAATGATTTGCCAATGAAAATTATTGGTTGCACTGAAGGGTTTTATGGGGATCTCAGTCTTCTGAAGGCTCTTCTTTAGTTCCTTGATGGGAGACTTTTTTTCTGTCTTGATAGGCTCAGCTGCCCAGCGCCACGTCTTCTTCATGGCAGATACAGAGAGAGGCAGAGAAAGAGACATGGCTGTGGGGAGGTCCAGGGCTCCTTGGGAGAACCGTCCGTGCCCTTTCAGATTTCTCTAGCCAGTGTAAACACTGACGTTCTGCAGAGAATGGTGCTGATGCTGTTTATCCTTTGTTCTTGAAGAGGACTATGACATTAGGAAGGAGATGTCATGACATGCAAATGACTTGGATTTAAGTGAGGGTTGTGCAAAGTCACCAGCCTCACTTTCTCCTCCAGAGCCATCTGAGTCCAGGGGCCAGATACAGATCAGGACAACTGGAGATGGCCCTAGATGCACTGGGGGACCTTGGCCTTTTCAAGCTAAGATCTTTAACACTGATGTTCCGCAGAGAACAGGGGCCAGAGGAGCAAGGCAAGAAGTTTCCATCTAAATGGGTCAGTGTGGATAGAGCACTGGGCCTGGAGTCAGGAAGATCTGAATTCAAATGCAGCTGAAGTACTTTCCAGCTGTCTCTTAATCTCTGGGCAAGTCTCTTAATCTCTGTCTGCCTCAGTTTCCTTTTGCATAGGCACAATAATAGCAGCTACCTCCTAGGGTTGTTGTAAGGACCAAATGAGATAATAATTGCAAAGCCCTTAGCACAGTACCTGGCACATAGTAAGTGGCTATATGAATGTTAGTTATAATTATCATTGTTGTTTATTATTATTCTAGAGCCTCTCGATTCCTTTTCTAGTTGAAGGAGTATCTGAGGAAATTTACTTCCACAAGGGCATTAAATAAGACCTGAAAACTCAAATGGGTTTTGGACTATGAAGTGCCACTTGAACTGAGAGATCCCAAGGACAGATCCCAAGGAGAGTTGGATTCTCAGAGGAATTCTGAAGGAAAGAAGCCGTTAACAGTCAAGTGAAAACCTGATTCATTCTAGGCCGCTGTGGCTGGTAGGGCAGCCTGGCTGAGGGATCTCAGCCTAACTTCTTCAAACAGAAAGATGGAGGGACCCTGTGACAAGGAGACCGTTTTATGTGTCACCCTATTTTAGGCCCCAGCTTCTCTTGGAGGCCTTTCCTGATCCTCCTGAACTCTCCTGCCTTCCTTCTGTGGATCATTTCACTTTCTTTCTGTCTACAGTGTGTTTGCACAGAGTTGTTTTCATGTTCTCTCCCCCACTAGACTGTGAACTCCCATGTCTTTTGCCTTTCTTTGTCTCCCTAGCACTCAGTACAGTGCCAAGACCACGGAGAGGCTTAATAAATGTTTAGTGACTGCTCAACACCTCAGACACCTCAGAGCTGACCTCTCTCCAGGGGTTTGATTAGTAGAGGGGTTAGATTAGAGAGTGCCATGTGAAAAAGCTATGGACACCCACCAGGCATCAATCAGAACTGGGCATCTGCAGAGGAGCCATACAATTCTGATATTCACCCCTGTCATTTACCAGAGCTGGTGTCTTTCGTGTGCATGGTGACCTGATCTTACGTAAAATTTTAAATTACACGGAGGACAAGGGGCCAAAGTACACACAAGCAAATTCAGAGAAGCAGTAAAAGTTCCTCTTTCCTCATTTGCCTATCAGGAGACACACTCTTGTGTTGTCTTTTTTCTTTTGACTTCTAACGGAGGCACAAGAGAACCCTACAGGTGGCTGTGGCACCTGAGATCCTGAGTTCAAATCCTGCCTCTGATGCTTACTTACTCATGTGACTTTGGGCAAGTCTGCACTCTGTGCCTCAGTTTCCTTATCTGTAAAAAGGGATTAGACTTGATGGCTTCCAAGACTGTTTCTAGCTCTTGATTTATGACCTTGTGAAACTTAGGAAGTCAATGAGACGAATCATCTTATTTTATAGATGAGAAAATCGAGTTATAGACAAGTTGCCTGTGGTCACAGATTAAAAAAAGTAGAGGATTTAGGATTTGAACTCAGGTCTACTGACCCCAAAGCCAATGCTTCTTCCTTTCTGCCTACTGATGTCTCCAAGATGTATGCCCTGAGTTTGAATCTTTCCTCAGGCACTTCTTTGCTGTGTCATCCTGGCCAAGTCACTTAACCTCTTTCGGCCTCAGTTTCCTCATCTGTAAAATGAGGATAATAATAGTAGCAACCTCCCAGGGTTACCAGGAGGTTCAAGTGAGATAATTGTAAAGTGCTTTGTAAACCTTAAAGTGCAATATAAATGCTAGCTATAACTATTACTGTTAATATTATTCTATTGACCAAGATTACTCTTTTTGTTGTTGTTGTTGTTGTTGTTTTTTGGCTAGGCAATGGGGTCAAGTGACTTGCCCAAAGTCACACAGTTAGTAAGTGTCAGGTGTCTGAAGCCAGATTTGAACTCAGGCCCTCCTGACTCCAGAGCTGGTGCTCTTGATGTTCATTTTAACCAGATTTCCCCCATATAAAAAAGGTGGGAGCAAGCCCACACATTGTGAGTTGCCCCAGATCTTAGTGCACCCTGTATACATACCAGCTCTTGTGAGTCTTTCAGGCTTAATGCTCCCACATGAATGATCACATGGTCCATCCTGCATAATTAAGATTAAGTGAGATCAAAGTTTAGCAGGGATATAGTACCTCCACGGCTACAATAAAATCACATCAATCTCTATGGCATATATGACTATAGAGATAACTGTTTCCCTTGAATCCACTAGGAGCTAAAAGTAAGGAGGTTTTAAAGACTGATATCCATGTTCACCAGAGTAGCGGGAGGTATCTAAACACAAGAAGGATGGGGAGGTTCTCTAGATGCTCCTAAAGGCAGACTTCCTTGCCCCATTTGCATTGAACCCCAGAGGCCTACCAACCTTCCTTAGTGAAATCTACAGAAATGCAAGAGAGTATTTGCTGTTAAGCCAGCCACACTTAAAAAATCAAGTGGATGGAAGCTATCAGAGGATGGGTGGAGTTGTTAGTTTTCAAGAATGAGGCCTACTCCAGGAGATACCAAGTGAGATGATCAGAACTAGGAGGGACCCTCAATTATCAATCTGGTCCAGCCCCTTCACTTTACTAATAAGAAAACTGAGAAGTAAATCCACTCGCCCAAAGTCATACAGGTAGTGACTATCAGGGCAGGGATTACAATCCAGGTGCTCTAACTCCAAGCCCAATTCTGCTCCTTTATACCAAGAGAGAAGAAATGCGATGAAGATATATTATTATACACATAAATGATTGGTAATCCAGGATAAAAACAAGGACGTGGGGCAGTTAGATGGTGCAGTAGATAGAGCACTGGCCCTGGATTCAGGAGGACCTGAGTTCAAATCCAGCTTCAGACACATAACTCTTACTAGCTGTGTGACCCTGGGCAAGTCACTTAACCCCATTGCCTAGCCAAAAGAAATTTAAAAAAGGACGACAGTTCAAAACACAGCATGAGAATTGTTTTTGATAAGCAGCTGCATCTTCTTCTATGAAGTAATATGTCATCCTGAACATTGTGGCTTGTAAAGGAAGGGCTTATGACGTACCACAGCACTGAATGCCTGGCTTTCCTAGTTAAAACCAATGGGGATATCATCCATTAGATTGCTTATGCCCATGTAGCAGGAGATACAATGGTCTCTGTCCCTAATATTCATCAATGTTTCAAAGATGACAAGTTATGCTTTGGATTATTCTATTTGCCTGCTGCTGGCCCAGAGTAGGGAGTATTTCCTTTTTTGTAACTGTTTCTCCAGCATAGCCTCTGGCGTACTGAAGGCATGTAATAGATGACTGTTGATTAATAAGATCTACGAAGGTCAGCTGGAAGTGACTAAAGGTTGGTAAAGCCATCACCAGTCACCATGGTGACTTTCAAGAAGACATCGGACCTGGATGAAAGCCAGAAATACCCCTGGAAATAAAGACTTACATCCTTTTATGGATCTGTGGGTAGTGGCCTGTCCGTTTCTTAGAGTACTAAACACTGGATATGACTGGTGTGGAATCAAATACCTCTCTGTTCCCTCCTTGAGAAATACTGAAAGCATTTAAAAATATCCTTGCCTGAGACTAAAGAGCAACATAAAAAGGTAAACGGGACAGAAAGAAACAACATGTTATAAGGGGCACAAACTCTTTACATCCCTACAAGGGAAGATGACACTTGTAATTCTTGAGAACTGTATTGTTATTACACCATGTTAAAAGGGTATACATAAAGGGGGTGGGTATAAATTGACTTTGATGTAATGATGAAAAAAATCTAATCAAATGGGTTAAATGGATCCAAGTAAGTGAATTAATCTGATCTAACTAAGAAAATATACTGAGAGAAAAAGAAAGGAGGAGGCAGACAAGGGTAAGTTACATCACAGGAAAAGGCACAAAACCCTATTACAACAGAGGGAAAGAAGGGAGGGAGATGAGCATTGTTTGAACCTTACTCTCATCAGATTTGGCTTAAAAAGGGAATAACATAATCAGTTAGGTATAGAAATCTAACATAGGGAAAAGGGGAAAGAAAAGGGAGGAGGCTAATAGAAGGGAGGTGGGACTGAGGGAGGTGGTAGTCAAAAGCAAAACATTAGTGAGGAGGAAAAAGGAGAAAGGAGAAAGAAAAGCATGAACAGGGGAGAAAAGGATGGAGAGAAAGACACAGTTATCAAAATTGTGAATGTGATATATGAATATAATGTAATACTAATGTACTATAAGAAATGATGAACAGGCAGACTTCAGGTAAACCTGGAAAGACGTGTATGGTTTGATACTGAGTGAAGTGAGCAGAATCAGAAGAATGTTGTACATAGTAACAGCCACATTGAGTGATGACTGACTTTGATAGACTTAACCCTTTCTCAGCAATACAAAGATCTAAGACATCTCCAAAAGCCCCATGATGGAAAATGCTATCCACATCCAAAGAAAGAACTATGGAGTTTGAATGCAGATCAAAGCATACTATTTGCTATTTTTTTCTTCTGTTGTGTTTTGTTTCCTCTTTCTAGTGGTTCCTCCTATTAGTTCTAATTCTTACTTACAACATCACTAATGTGAAAATATGTTTAATCAGAATGTATATGTATAGCCTATATTAGATTGCGCACCATCTTGAGGAGGATGGGAGGGAGAGAGGGGAAGAAAAATTTAAAACTCAAAAGCTTATGGAAGTGATTGTTGATAAATCAAAATAAATTAATAAAAAAAATTAAAAATATCCTTGTCTGAAGTCTTTTTACTACCCTGAAAGAGAAACCCTTATTGGTCTTTGTAACTATCAATTCTGAAACAGTATCCTGCTCCACTCTCCCCAGAATAGCCCAGGAAGAACTCCTCCCTTCAGTAATTAGGGTGGTGGCTGGTCAAGACCAGGGGCCTTAGTTGGATCTACCTAGAAGGAAGAAGTCTCTTTGATTACTTCAGTTAATGGAAATATATCTTAAGTATTCATCTTTGACCTACTGGAGAGGAGAACCACTGAAGAAAGTGATGAAAAAGGGATTGATGGTGATACGAAATGATTTTTTAAGGGTAAGCTTAGAATTAAGTGACTATTGCTCTGTCAGATGAAGCACACTGTTAAGAGAACCTCAACTCTACACCCTTGCTCAATCTTGACTATGAAATATTCCTTGTTATTCAAGAATCCTATAAATCAGGACTTCAAGATGATTAATGTTAGAGGGATGCCTAAGGGCATGAATATTCTGTTTGGACATTTCTGTAAGCAGAAAAATGCTTAGAGACAGAATAAGTTAAAATGAATAGAAATTGGTTCTGGTGGCCTTGTGCCTACAATGCAAAGTACAGTTTTTCTTCCACTCCAGGAAAGCAAGGAATTCAGTGCTGAGATGCACTGTAGTAAGCCCATCATGGCTAAGAATGCTGCAGATAACATATGTTAACTAATGATGATCCTCATAAAAATAAAATTCTCACGGCACATAAAGTTTAATTACTGACATGAGGAGATATCTGAGAAAGTTTATACTGGCATATGGAATAATCCAATGAGAAAATTTAGTCTATGAAAAGAAACTCAAGACAGAAGTTAAAAGAAAAGGTGGAACTGTCCTCAAATGCCCCTTGCCAGAAAATCACATCCTTCATAAGAAAACCAGCTTCCTCATGGACCAGAACATACAGATGATGGTTAAACTATCACAATTTGGAATCTTCTATGAAATTTAGCACCCTAGTGACTAGAATGAAAGTAGTGAGAAACAGGAAAGTCTAAGGATGCCACATCAGATGGCTTTAATATTCTCCTTAAGAAGTTAAGGTCAACTTCTGAGAATGGGGTAGGGGGCTGGAACTGAGGGGAAAAAATGATAGCTAGCATTTGTATAGTGCTTTACAATATTACCTGATTGGATCTTCACAGCAGCTCTGTGACATAGGTGCTATTATTATTTCCATTTTACAGATGAAGAAACTAAGGCAGGCACAGCTAGTATGTCTGAGGCCATATTTAAACTTGGGTCTTCCTGATCCAAGTCCAGCACTCAATCCCTTATGCCACCAGCTGCCTCTGTAAAAAGGTCAAAGGAGCACGAAATTCTAGGGTTTTAGAAAGAGCACATTTGAAATGAGTGACCATGGAGTTCAAGATGGGTATGTAAGCAAATAAAACCAGGAATTACCCAATCAAATGATAAAGTAGAGAAAGTTCAAAGTGTGAAGAGGGGAAGGGGGTGTTTTAGAAGATGGAAGAAGAATGAAGACCAAGATTTGTGGGAGAGGGATTAGAATGAATTAGACTGGAATACAAAGGCAAAAGGATACAAGGTGGTCACCAGAGAGGTAATGTCAGAGTTTGAGATCTTGGAGGTGGGGCAGTTCTGAGCGATGATAGGGCCTCTGTTCCTGATCAGGGCTCAATGAACCAGAAATAATCAATAAGTCAGTTCTGAATGGAACACCAGAAGGTATCAGCTGAGCCTCAAGAACTGTAAGTTGTGAAGCTGAAAAGGCTGAGAATCCAGAAGAAAGCAGCCACCAAGGGATTCAAGAGGCTTTGGCTGCTTAGTAATTAGGATGAAAATACTGCGGAAGCTCTGCCATGGGGAGGGCCTCCAAATGCAGCCGCCGAGGGAGGAGAACTGATAAAGCCAGAGAACAGCAGCCCTGGGAAGCTCCTTGTTTGGCCTGTAATCCTATCTTGTTTCCCCTTCCTGCCCATGGCTGCGTTCTGGCCAAGTCAGCCTGCTAGCTGCTGCTCAAACCAGGCATTCCGTCCATGTGCCCAGTGACCGGGGTGCACTTCTTTCACCTCTGAAGAGACCCTGTTCTTCCCTCTGAGGGCCACCTCTTGTCTTGATGTCCCCAGATGCTAACGCTTCCCCACCCTGTTGTGGCGTTTTATATATGCTGTCTCCCCATAAAGACAAAAGCTCCTTGAGGTCAGGGGACCAGTCCCACTTTTGTCTCTGCATCTCCGTGCCCAGCCCAGTGCCTGGTGCATACTCCACGCTTACCTGTCGAAGGAAAATGCAAGGTTTTCCTCACAAATACAAGAAAACCAGGATAGCTTAGAAAGTATAAATAAATAGGACAATAGCAGTTTTGGGGGGTGTAAGGTACTAATTATTTA